AACAGGTGGGATCCCCTGAAAGAGACCGCCGTCCAGTTGGCAGGACCGACGGGAGGGGGTGGCTGGAGGCGGCCGGTGCCCTGGTCTGGGGACAGCAGGGTCAGCGTGTGCCGTCCCCAGGGCTGTGGCTGGGGCAGGAGGGACCTTGAAGCTGCCTCCCCACAGGGATGCTGGGAAGGTGGGCATGCTGAGCCCGGGGCAGGGAGAGCGGGTTTCCCCTTAGTGCATGCTGGGGCTCCCTTCCCGTGAGCTCCAGGAGGGTGGGCACATTAGGGATCCCCCCTCCCCGACACCCGCTTCCTGGAGAACAGCGGACGTGGGTATCCCAGCCGAGGGAAGGGCTCATTCAGAAATGATACCTTGGGAGGGTTTCCTTGTGGAAGAGGCTGGTGTTTGTTCTGTGTGGTTCTACCTGACAATTGCTGCTTGGGGGCATGTGGAGTTGTCAGCGGAACTCATTTGAGCTCAACCCAGGAACTTCCCAGTGTAGACTGGACTGCCCCAGGAGGAGGACGACCTGGGATGGAGTGTGGCCCCCGGATACTGCACGCCGTCGGGGGGTGGGGGTGCCCGGGGGAGGGGATGAAACCTCTGCCCGAGGGAGCAGGCAGGTGCCAGCCTCCTTGTGTCTATACCATTCCAGACCCAGAATGGGTCTGCTGTGGGGACCAGGGGGTGCTGAACGAACCGTAGCGGTGTTATGGGGCATCTCCCATTTCTGGGTTTGCAGACCTGGGACGTAAGTCATTTATTTATTCAGGACATGCTGCTGGGTGCCAGCCCGGGGATAGGCAGGGGGTGGCTTTGCTTCCGTCCAGGGATGGAGACAGACCAGCTGACCGGTGATCCAGGGAGCAGACCCACGGTGATGGGCCTCCCAGGCCGAGCCAAACTGGTTCAGATGAAACCTTTCCTTGCAATTAGTTTTATTCATTTATTTATTTAAAAAAAATCTTTTTTACGTTTATTTTAGTTTTGAGAGACAGAGAGAGACAGGTCGTGAGTGGGGGAGGGACAGGGAGGGAGGGAGACACAGAATCCGAAGCAGCTCCAGGCTCTGAGCCGTCAGTCAGCACAGAGCCCGAGGCGGGGCTCGAACTCACGAACTGTGAGACCAGGACCCGAGCCGAGGTTGCACGCTCAACTGACTGAGCCACCCTGGCGCCCCGAAATTAGTTTTCATTAGTTGCTAGGGCGTGAATCCTAGTTTCCTCAAAGAGGACAGACCAGGTCCACGAGGCAGCTGCCTGCCACGGCCCCTGGTGCGTGCAGCCGCCTACGGGGGTGCCCCTGGGGCTGCTTTGGGACAGCTTAGAGTCAGGCCAGCACCTGCGGGACTTGGGGCCCGCATCTTCAAACGGACTCTGCCCCGCCCGGACTGCTTCGTGGTCTTAGACGTCCCCATCGGAACCCGCAGGGGTGGACCTTGGGGCCCAGGTGACGAGGCTTCATAGGCCGGGGGTCGGAGCTTCAAACCTTCAGAGCCCTGGATGGTCCTCAACCCTTACTAATTATACAGCAAATGAAGGCGACGTCCAACTTGGAAATCTTGGGGGTTGGGGGAGGGGTTGTTGTTGTTGTTTCCGTTTTATGAGGCTTATGTTTCACAGGAGGGCGGTGTAGGATTGTCTGGAGCGCCATGCAGAGGCCCGTGCCTGTAGTAAACCTCAGCCCCTGCCCTACTGCTCATTTTCCCTGCTGGCCGCACAGCATTAACGGAACCGTAGCGCCCGGGTCTGTTAGCGGACCGCTCTTCGCGTGAACTTCAGCTGTGAAACACGTGAACGCTTAGGCTCAGGTTGCTCGACGCCAGCCCCCCGGTGCGGGATGGCCCACGGTGTCTGGTGCGTGCAGGGATTCTGCAGGGTCCACGTGACCGATTCCGCCGTGTTCCCCGTGCCTGTGTGTGCACATGCCCAGAAGTGCGCGTGGCTGCCCCAACCCGAAGCCCTCTGTCTGCAGGTGCTGACACTGTCCTGTCACTTCCTGCCACCCCCCGCCCCGCGTCCGCCCTTCGGGCAGCCGAGATGTTCTCGGTCTCTCCTATCAACCGTCCCTGCAAACGCGTGTGCTCAATGCCACGTTCCCTGAGGATCGGGCTCTGATAAGGTGATAAAGAGTGATCAGATTTAATGAGACACCCCTCTCGCATCATAGCGGCGCATTTTACTAGGGGCCTCCTGGAAAATGTCTTAAGCCCAAATTTCCCAAGAGGTGGACGGAGCACTCATTCAGCTAGTTGTTTCCTAAAAAAAATAAAATAAAATAAAAAATAATAATAATAAAAATGCAAATTAATTGTATTTTGGTCAAATGAGAGGCGGTACATAGAGATAGCTCCCCTTGAGAATTAACGAGATAGGTCACATGTTAAAGATCTAAAATGTCCCGCAGTAAAAAAAAATCAGGTTTCATCTAATGATTTATGTGCCCTCCAACCTTCTCATTCACGTGACAGCTGTCCGCATCCCGTAGTTTCCTCTGGGAAATGACGTCATCAGCCCAAGGAGTCACTCCGTTGTAGCATTTCCACTGGCTTTGTTAACATGTAAAGAAAATGTGTTTATTGTGGTAAAAGGTTCATAGCGTAAAAGTGAACGTTTTAATCCATTTTTAAGTGGACGCTTCGGTGGCACTAAGTGCATTCACACTTGTCAGGCAACCACATCCCCACCATCCGTCTCCGGAACTTTCTGTCTTCCCAAAAGCCGAAACTCGGCTCCCCGCGAAACGCTAACTCCCCGGCCCCCCTCCCCCCTTGTGCCCCCGGAAACCACCTTCTACCCTCTGTCTCTGTGAATTTGACCACTTGTTATAGGTGCTTCATATCAGTGGAATCAGACAGCACGTGCCCTTTTGTGTCTGGCTGATCTCCCTTCACCATGACGTCCTCCGGGTTCGTCCGCGCGATGGCGGGTATCAGAATTTCCTTCCTCTTTAAGACCGCATAATATTCCAGTGTGCACATACACACACTGTGTTCCTCCATTCGTCTGTCACCAGATATGTGGGTCGTCTCCGCCTTAGACTCCTGTAGGCGATGCTGCTTGGCACACTCTCTGGGGTCCCCCTGCGGGTGACGCCGGCTTTGTCCAGGCAGGGGGCTGGTGGCGCGACGTGTGGTTCTTTGTAGTGAGGCCGAGAGTATTTTCATCGCTTGCCGCGGAGGAGGCTTTTTATTTATGGAAACCATATGATCCTGTCTGTGGAATATGTTGCCCTCAAAGCCGACAGCCGGGTCCCACCCGGTGGGAAGGCGTAACAGACCCGCACATCACTTAGGAAAGCAAGAGCCTCTGGGAGGAGGGGGCCAGTCTCCCCTTGCGGCCCCCACTGTGACGGCCAAACTGACGTCTCGAAGAAGGGGGCGGCTGCTGGCCCTTTAGTAGAGGCCCGTTCGGCGCAGATGTATTCACTCGGGAGGGGGAGACGTCGTCCTGGGTGAAACCCAGGTTCCGCCGCGGAGCCATAAGCGGCTGCTTCCGTAAAGCGTGGCCTGGGAGCTTGGCTGAGAAACTTCTCTTTAAAGACCATCTAACTGCTGGGGAGGCCGCGTCCTTGAAGATGATTGATTTCCCCTCACCGTGTTTCATTTTTCTCTCCTAGCTTATGTTCCCGAGGAAGAACTAAAGGCAGCAGAGATAGATGAAGAAGCCGTGGAGGAGGATGGGCTGTCCCTGGACGTCCAGGACGGCGAGTACGTGTGCAACGAGGAAGCGGAGATCAAAGAAGCCCAGAGCTACCAGAACTCCCCGGTCAGCACCGCGACGAATCAGGACGCGGGCTACGGGTCCCCTTTCAGTGAGAACAGCGACCAGCTGGTCCATTTCAAGAGCTCTTCCTCCAGAGAGGGCAAAGAGGATCCGCAGGGCCCGGACGGCGTCTCCTACCCCCAGGACAGCTTGGCACAGATCAAGGCTGTGTATGCCAACCTGTTCTCCGAGTCCTGCTGGTCCAGCCTCGCCTTGGACTTGAAGAAGTCCGGTTCGACCACCAGCAGCAACGATGTGGGCCCGAAGGAGAGCTCCACCCCCACGCCCACGCCCCCCACCAGCACGGCGGGGCCCACGGGCACCACCGCGAGCACCCCCAGCTCGGGCTCGGGCTCGGGCTCGGGCACCGGAGGCAGCGGCGGCTCGGGCTACGACTGGCACCAGGCCGCGCTGGCCAAGACGCTGCAGCAGACGTCCTCCTACGGGCTGCTCCCCGAGCCCAGCCTCTTCAGCACCGTGCAGCTCTACAGGCAGAACAACAAGCTCTACGGGTCCGTGTTCACGGGCGCCAGCAAGTTCCGCTGCCGGGACTGCAGCGCCGCCTACGACACGCTGGTGGAGCTGACGGTGCACATGAACGAGACGGGGCACTACCGCGACGACAACCGGGACAAGGACTCCGAGAAGACCAAGCGGTGGTCCAAGCCCAGGAAGCGCTCGCTGATGGAGATGGAAGGCAAGGAGGACGCGCAGAAGGTGCTCAAGTGCATGTACTGCGGCCACTCCTTCGAGTCGCTGCAGGACCTGAGCGTCCACATGATCAAGACCAAGCATTACCAGAAAGTGCCTCTGAAGGAGCCAGTACCAGCCATCGCCAAACTGGTCCCTTCCACCAAGAAGCGCGCTCTGCAGGACCTGGTGTCGCCGTGCTCTCCCGAGCCGGCGGGGCTGGCCGCCGACGCGGCGCTGGGCGAGTCGGCCAAGGACCAGAAGGCCGCCAACCCCTACGTGACGCCCAACAACCGCTACGGCTACCAGAACGGCGCCAGCTACACCTGGCAGTTCGAGGCCCGCAAGGCGCAGATCCTCAAGTGCATGGAGTGCGGCAGCTCCCACGACACCCTGCAGCAGCTCACTGCCCACATGATGGTCACCGGCCACTTCCTCAAGGTGACCACCTCGGCCTCCAAGAAGGGGAAGCAGCTGGCGCTGGACCCCGTGGTGGAAGAGAAGATCCAGTCCATCCCTTTGCCGCCCACCACGCACACCCGGCTGCCCGCCTCCCACGTCAAGAAGCAGCCCGACTCTCCCGCGGCGTCCTCGCCCGCCGAGGAGAAGAAGGAGCCCGAGCGGGAGAAGGCGCCGGCGGCCGGCGAGGCGGAGAAGAAGGTCAAGGAGGAGAGCCAGGACGCGGCCGAGAAGTTCGAGCCCACCGCCCTGTATCGGTACCTGCGCGAGGAGGACCTGGACGACAGCCCCAAGGGCGGGGTGGACATCCTCAAGTCCCTGGAGAACACGGTGTCCACGGCCATCAGCAAAGCCCAGAACGGCGCACCCTCGTGGGGCGGCTACCCCAGCATCCACGCGGCCTACCAGCTGCCCGGCACCGTGAAGCCGCTGCCGGCCGTGCAGAGCGTGCAGATGCAGCCGTCCTACGCGGGGGGCGTGAAGTCACTGTCATCGGAGCACAGCGCGCTCCTGCACTCCCCGGGGAGCCTCACGCCCCCGCCGCACAAGAGCAACGTGTCGGCCATGGAGGAGCTGGTGGAGAAGGTCACCGGCAAGGTCAGCGTGAAGAAGGAGGAGAGGCCCGCCGACCGGGAGAAGGGCTCCCCGGCCAAGGCCGTGTCCCCCGTGGCCAAAGAGAACAAGGACTTCCCTCGAGCGGAGGAGAGCGGCGGCAAAGTCCAGCAGAAGAAGGGCCCCGAGGCGGAGGCGGGGAAGGCCAAAAAGGAGGGCGTGCTGGACGCGCACACCCCAAACGGCACCGAGCCGCTCAGGGCCAAAGTCACCAACGGCTGTAATAACCTGGGGATCATCACGGACCACTCGCCCGAGCCCTCCTTCATCAACCCGCTGAGCGCGCTGCAGTCCATCATGAACACGCACCTGGGCAAGGTGTCCAAGCCCGCGAGCCCCTCGCTGGACCCGCTGGCCATGCTGTACAAGATCAGCAACAGCATGCTGGACAAGCCGGTCTACCCCGCCACCCCCGCCAAGCAGGCCGACGCCATCGACCGCTACTACTACGAGAACAGCGACCAGCCCATCGACCTGACCAAGTCCAAGAGCAAGCCCCTGGTCTCCGGCGCGGCCGAGTCCGTGGCGTCGCCTCTCCGGGAGAGCGCCCTCATGGACATCTCGGACATGGTGAAAAACCTCACGGGCCGGCTCACCCCCAAGTCCTCCACCCCCTCCACCGTGTCGGAGAAGTCGGACGCCGACGGCAGCAGCTTCGAGGAAGCGCTGGACGAGCTGTCGCCCGTGCACAAGAGGAAGGGGCGGCAGTCCAACTGGAACCCCCAGCACCTGCTCATCCTGCAGGCTCAGTTTGCCTCGAGCCTGCGGGAGACGCCGGAAGGGAAGTACATCATGGCGGACCTGGGCCCCCAGGAGCGGGTGCACATCTCCAAGTTCACCGGGCTGTCCATGACCACCATCAGCCACTGGCTGGCCAACGTGAAGTACCAGCTGAGGAGGACAGGGGGTACCAAGTTCCTGAAGAACCTGGACACAGGACATCCTGTTTTCTTTTGCAACGATTGTGCCTCTCAGTTCAGAACTGCTTCTACGTACATAAATCACCTAGAAACACACTTAGGCTTCAGCTTGAAGGATCTCTCCAAGCTGCCACTAAATCAGATTCAAGAACAGCAGAACGTTTCAAAAGTCCTGGCCAACAAGGCTTTGGGCCCGGTAGGGGCCGCCGAGGATGATCTGGGCTCCACATTCCAATGCAAGCTTTGCAACCGGACTTTTGCGAGCAAGCACGCAGTCAAACTGCACCTTAGTAAGACCCACGGCAAGTCCCCGGAGGACCACCTGATCTATGTGACAGAGTTGGAAAAACAGTAGCGTCCAGGTATGCAAGGGACGGAGGCACATTGCACTAAATGTCGTCTTTGTACTGCACTAGGCCCGGCTGAGCCTCCGAAATCAGCCTTCCCTTTGTTGCCGAGCCGGCTGTCTGGACCTTGGTTTTTCTTACACATATTTTGTAGTTATATTTATATGCTCTTTGTCCGATTGTGCATGTTATTTTTCTTTTTCCGTGAGTCAAAGTCTGACCTTTATTTTCAACATCTGTTCTTGATGTTAAGCTATCTTTTGTAGGAAATAGTGGGGCACACTACTCAGAGACATTTATTTAGCAGGCAAGAAAGACACAAATAACAATGACAAAAAGACATCCTAAAATTACGAAGTTGCCATGACAATAAAGGTCATAGAACCTAGTAGTGTCAAGTTTAACCCTTTGAGGACTGCAATTGCATTTCTGTGCCTTTCACTCAAAAAAAGAAAAAAAAAAAAAGAAAAGAAAGACAAAAAAAAGGAAAGAAAAAAAAGGCTTCAAGGCATTTCATTCAGATCAAAAGCTGTGTCAGACACAAAACTTATTTAATAATTAAAAAATGAGCTTTTATATGCAGAACTGGTTTGTGAAGGAAACATGCATGCAGCTGTTGGAAGATAGAAAGGTGTCTAGGACTCATGGGGTTAGGAAGCCACAGCTTTACACATTTAGAACAAAACAAACCAAACCACACAAAAAAAAAAAACCCACCGCCACCACCACCCCAAACATCCCGAGTTGCCACTCTGCCCAAACCCTCTGGATGCTGAAAAAAAAAAAATGCCACTTTTGGCAAAAAAGTATGCAAGCTATTATTTAAAAAATGTGTAAAAATGCTATTTCTTTTTTCCTGTAAAATACTGCGGTTTATAGTTATTTACAAATGTAAGCTTTGGTATAAGCTGACCTTTCTATAGCGTGCTGCATTGGTAAATGAAAAAAAAAATGGGGCAAACGGAGTCCTTTCCTTGTAAATTGCCAGCATCCGCTTAAAAACCCCTGTATGTTACATTATCGTACCATTTTAATCTATTCCACTTTCTTTGTACCTTCTGGCCGTATGCTTTCTCTTTTAACTTTTTATATTGTCATTTTATATTAAATTTCTGTGTATATAATGTAAAACCACGATTTTTGAATAAAATTTAGTTCCTGCAGCTTGATTTAAATAGAGGAATTTTACCGGCACCTGCATCTTTCCAGATGCATGTATATCAGACAAAAAATAAATAAATGAAAACAAAGCAACCAGTGCACTATTAATTATACATTTTGATGTTCTATCATTAATATTGTACAGTACATTTTGGTTCACACAATTAAATCCACTGTTTTCTCAAATGTAAAATAAAACCCACATGCAGTTCTTGATTTACATAGATTGTCATGTCGTCATTATATTGCCTTTGAGATGTTATTTTAGCAACAAGAGGTATATAGCTTCTGCAGTCAACCAACAAAAATTCTATTCAGTCATCACTTCGTGATTTGTGTGGTGACACGCTTCATGCGGATGATAAGTATTGAGGTGTTTTTTTTTTTTTTTTTTTTTAAATGATAATTAAAATTTTTAACGCTACCGGGTGCCACGGGTTGCTGAGTTCAGCCACTGAGTGGTGACTGTTTTGTACATACGTGGACTGAGCTGCTTCATGCAGAGGATCCTCACGGACTATTGAAAAATGTTTACGGTTATCCTTAGTGTGAGTCCAGGGACTTGGGGCCCGGGGTGGGTGGGGGCTGGTGGGGTGGGGGGTGGAAGGGCCGGTCTTGCTGTAGCACCAACGACCCTGGGGGGCCTCGGAACTAGTTTCGTGTTGCTCCAAAGAGGAAAGCCTGGTTTCTGCACTTTTGGAAATGCAGTTTTTAGAAGCTGAGCTGCTCGGGGCTCCAGCGTTTGGGGCCCGTGTTGTTCTGCAGGTTCCCCCGGAGCACCGAGGGGCTCCACCGGGGAGACCGCCAGGCCCACCCCCCAGCCGTCTCTCTGGGGCTCAGTGCTTCCGCCTGCAGTGGGACGTCACAGGTCCAGGCCCCCAGCCTCTCTTCTCGCCGGAAGTACTCACGGACGTGAGCAGGGAGACGGCTTCTACTGCCTTTTGCTTAACTTTTCATGAAAATTACGTCCCGAGAAAGGTTAGGAGGCCGGGCTCTGTTCAGAGGCAGCCGGAGGGGAGGGCGGGGTTTCCGCTGAGAGGAGGCGGGGCCGGTCAGGGCGCCATGTTTGCGTGGTCTTGGTGCCAAGGCCCAGAGCACCAGGGAGGCTCGCTACATTTTTTTCTGCCTGTTTTCATTGGTGAATAGCTCTGTCCTTTAGGAGCTGCAGCCATTTGGACATTTCAGTTCACTTACTGGGTGATTATGTACTTTGGGCTCAAGGGGTGACCGAGAAGAATAACAATGAGGCCTATGGCAGGAGGTGGCGTCTTTGCATAAAAATCCTTTGAAGGTCCTATGTGTTTGACCACAGGCCCACAAATTCGTGATTCTGCGAATTCACCCTGTAGTGGGAGTCCGAGCGGGTGCAGGGGTGTGAAGGGCGGGGGTCAGAGGCCCAGGTGGGGTCTGCTGGGTTTGGTCCCCACTGGCAGCTGCTAAGACATTTGGAGGCTATTTGCACTTGAATCCTGACCACTGGGGCTTGGGCACAGAACTCGGGCTTTCCTTTCTTCATGTTTTCCTTTTTCTAATTCGTGGTCGTGTCGCTATCTTGTCGTCCACCCTGGTCGTCACAGACCAGTGGATGGAATGCTAGGTTCTCTTGTCACCACTGCTAGTGATGAAGAAGGCCATCCTGGTTCCATTTAGGGAGCACTTCCTGGTGCCAGAGGCCATTGTGAGTGCTTCGCACGAGTTACCTCATTCACGCCTCACACCTGTATCTGGGGTCCCGTACCTTCCACCCTCGCTGGCAAAGGAAGAGCTCAGCTCGGCACTGAGACTTGCCCAAGGCCGCCTGGTTTGTGATCCACAGAACTTGGGCTCGTAACCAGAGAGGCTTTGCCTGGGGCTCAGCTCTCCAGCACCCCCTTTGATCTGCCCCCGTGTGATCGCCCCAGGTCCCCAGGTGGGGGTGTGGCAGAGGAGGGCTGGGCATCTCCTCTGGGATGGGGACTAGAGTAGGGCTGAGTGATGGGGTAGCCCTGACGGACAGGGACGGGCGTAGCCACCCTGAGCAAACGGGCATTCTTCAGATCCCCTCCAGCCGAAGCCCACCTCAGATCACAAAGGTCTATCTTCTGTTGGATCTGGGAAGGAAGTTGAAAGAATGTCTGTTACGAGTTTGTAGCAACTTCAGTTGAAAACATGTCTCCATAGTAACACAGAAACTCGATTTGTATCAATACCGATAGATTGAATGATCCCGGGAAGAAATTGGCTACCTCTGATTTGAGGGTTTCCTCAAATTTCCGCTTCCTTCATCTGTATTTGAATACACATGCCCACCTCTGCTCCATCACCCGTGTCCCCGGGACGGATCCCACGCGTGGCATTGAGTGCTCTCTGCTTCCCCGTGGTCCTCTCTCAGCCCAGGGACTAGGCCTGCATCTTCTGTAGTAGGAGGCAAGTGGGCCTGAGTGACCCGAGAGAGCTGGCCACCTGCCCGGCCCCCTGGCCCAAGGCCGTGGGAGGCTGGGGAGAAAGCGAGTGGCCCGGCCGTCCTGTGTTTCCGTCCGGTGAGGCTAATGTCGTCTACATGCAAACGTAGTCCTACTTTGCATTCCTATTCGCAGCTTGAGCCTTGGGTTGAAGAACTCATCAGATTATTTGTTCCTGTAAGTGTGGGACTGTTAAAAGTTGGAGATACTCCTCAGAAGGTGTTTGGGTGAGGCTGTTCCTTGATCTTTCACTAATACTTAAAGAGATATAAAACCTGTAAAATAATGGTCGACACTCGTTTGTGTACGAGAAACAAACCCTTAGGCGTCGTAGGCAAAAAAAGAAGCGATTAAAAACTTTAAGAGTTCTGCCCCCGCACCCTGTGTTTGGCGATCTTTGAAAAGCTGTTAATGGTCTACAGCATGCCTAAACTACTTGTGAATTTTCAGAAACCTGTGTGTACAAATAGGTTTCTGCTTCTTTCCAAGGCAAAGTTCTTTGTTATGCACTTTATTATTATTTCTCTGAAGGTGAACGGACCATTGAAAGCCAACTATTGATTTGTAAACTTAAAAGGCGACAAAGGGTAAAATTTGGAGAGCATTTGTACTTTTTATGTAACTATATTCTTATAATAAAAAGTAATATATAATCATTGCAGAAAACTTGGAACACCAAAGAATAAATAAAAATTTACTATCATTTTCATCTAAAGAGGAATCACTGTTGGTATTTTAGAGCTCAATCTTTTTTCTGCGCTTCTAAAACGTAGAGATTACGCTCAACATAGTCCTGTACTTTGGTGTCTTTACCTGACACGAGATTACGCGTATTTTCCCATTTGATGAAATACCAAAACTTTCTCATCTTCCTGAGATGGACTATATTTAATCAGGTCTCCGTCAGTTAGAATTTTAGAAAGGAACATTAGATTCCTTTCAAGTTTTCACTATTAGAAATGAGCACAAAGAACATTCTACTCCATATTTCTGATTATCCCTTTAGAACCAGTACCTAGAACTGAGATTTCTGCACCACGGTATGGCTTGGTACATATGCTCAAATTGTCCACCAGAAGAAGCTTTATACCAGCTTACACTCCCATTGCCATGACAATGACCATTTTTCCACGTGGACATTTTCTTTGTGAACACAAGGATTTTTTTTAAAAAAATTTTTGGCTATTTGCTCTAATTGGCCAATGGAATCTTGATGTTTTCATTTATAATGCTTTTTTGAAAAATTTATTTAGATTTTAGAGAGAGAGAGAGAGACAGGGAGAGACAGGCAGAGGTGGGGGGAGAGAGAGAATCCCAAGCAGGCTCTGTGCTGAAGCATGAAGCCCAACGTGGAGCCTGATACAGGGCTCAATCCCATGAACTGGGAGATCATGACCTGAGCCAAA